AGCAGGATCCAATGGGAGACTGCCATGGAAGGTAAAGGCCAAGGGAAGCTGAATGATTTTCAAGAATGACTTCCTTGGAGCAGAGGACTAGTCAATTCCAGGGTTCAGAAAGTCGAATAGAAGACCAGTGTGTATGAACAGGGGTTGAACAGGGCTGAGGTACAGAGAAGTGTCCATTACGCAAAATGAGGATGTACTGCCCAGCAAGAATATAGGGATATGGCTGCAGCATGCAGGGGTAGTGGCAACAGAGACAAAACTTGGCTAAAACTGGAACCAGAAGGGCAGTGAAAAGGGCTGAGAGTAAAAGGAAGGCTAATGAAAATGTGGTCTCACTGCTCAGTGAGGCAGGGGACCAAATGATAAAGGTAATGGGAAAGGTTGAAGCAGTGAGGACCTTGATCCCAGCCTTGCCTTGGTTTTCCCAGGGTCTGCCATCTGGCCTCCCAATTTCCTGAAACGTGGGAATGGACCATAACCCCACCGTGGAAGAAGGTGTAGCCAGGAACCACCTGAACAAATGGGATGCATCTCATCTGATCCCATGGAGTTGTGCACATACAAGCATGTGGAGGGAGATGGCAGGTTCTAGCAAGCTGAGCATGGGACAGCAGTGGGCTCTTGCTATTACAGCCCAATAAGTGATTGGCATGTTTTGTTGCAAGAGTGCAGCCAGCCTGTGTTTCCCCTCTGTTTGGCACTTGTTGGACTATGCCTGCAGGCTGCATTAACTTTGACTCTCTAATACCATCTAGATAGTGACATACTAGAGTGATGACTGCAGAGGGTTTTCTTTTTGAAAAAACAAAATGGTGTGAAAATGGACTTCAGATAAAAATCAGGGAAAGTGGCCTTTTTACCTGGGAGGTTAACAGACTCTGCTAATGCTTTTTCAGTTATGAAAAGGACAATTACTTGGCCCTTGAAATATTCTCTGAAGAGCAGATGTGTTATAGGAATTGATTTAAGGCTGTTGTCTTTGCTTTTCCTTGTTTCAGCAACATTATCATTATGAAAGACTCCTAGATAATCTATGAAAGTAGTGATGCAAAGAGCAATTGTAAATTCAGACTAAGGAAGATATTTGCAAAGCTTGGACTTGAGGTGCCCTGAGGTGCTTTCATCTGTGTTCTGATTTACACAATATCAACAGAGTACTGAGAATTAATAGGTTCATATTGTTAATTTTATCCTAGTCAGGCATTTAATAATATGTTTTTATTTTACCTGTTACCTTAACATTGTTGCTTGGCTCCTGCTTCTCTTGATCCATCATACTTAAAACACTAATCTATGTGAGTGTATTTTAGCCTTCAAGCAAAGCAGATTTCTAGACCCATAATGATTGTGGGTTAGTTCTTGTTTGTTTTCTTCAGGAGGTAAAAATCAGAGCTGGGTCAGATTTTTTTGATGATGAAAATATTTTCGGCTTTACTGTTATTTGTCAGGTCTGTTTCTGGTTGTTTCTCTTTAAATATTAAGCAGTTCTTTATGTTTTGTTTTGCATCTAGTATGCAAATATGTACTAAAGAAAAGGGGGTTATGTTGCTTTTTTTCATTTTTTTTTTCCCTCCACCTTTGCTGTGAATGACTGTTTCTTCATTGTGTTTCTTCACCAGCGTGTTGAGACGTATTGTTACACTTCTTACTCAGCTGGCAAAAGGAATGACAACTCAAGCAGCTCTGGAAATGCAAGTGAACAACACGACTGAAGCAGCCAAAAAATACATAACTGAGAATGAAAAGCTGCAGCAGGTAGCTTACAACCTTTTCAGCTGTTTTCTTAAACAGTAGGTAGTTGGTATGAAGACCTGGTAGTGGGCTTTAATAGTTTAAACTTTTTGATACCAAATGTTTTGGGGCTTTTTTTTTTTTTTTCCCTGTGAGGAAGAAGAAAGAACTATTTGCTTAAAATGTGTAATGAAGAATAGTGATTAAGAACTTGAGTAGCATGTTACTAAGTAAGAAAATTACTCCAAAGTAATGAAGTTCTATCTTCCTGGTTCCGCTGTGCTCTTAGGGCAAGAAACAGGGGTAGGAACCCTCCTGGCATTGCTGTTATGCAGGTCTGCTTTCCCTTTCTCTTCTACCTCTGCATGGTCTGAGCCTTTCTTTTGTTACAGCAGAATGTTTACTGCATCCACAGGATTTGAATGCTTCTTCTTAGCTTCTCTTCTTGATTCAGCACTCTCCTCTTGATGTCGTATGTCAAAATTGTGAACTCTAGCTTATGGCTGGAATCCGTCACTGGCTGCCTGGTTAATGTTGCTCCATAACTGCTAGGTAGGAGACCCATCTGAAAAGTGCACACCTAACACCTGAACAATGTTACATGTGTCCTCAGGTTTATCCTTAGTATTATTGTATTCAATGTTACAGCAAATTTCCATCTCCTGGAATAAGTGAATCTGAAAAAACAATATGACTTTAATAGTCATTTAAGGAAAGACTAAGTGAGCTGGGCCTACTTAGCCTGGAGAAGACAAGGCTGAGAGGGGATCTTGCCCACATGTACAAATACGTGAGCGGAGAATGTAGGGAGGATTGAGCCAAACTCCTCTTAGTGGTGGCCAGTGACAGGATGAGGGGTAATGGGTACAAGTTGAAACACAGGCAGTTCCATCTCCATGTGAGCAAGAACTTTTCCTGTGAGGGTGACAGAGCCCTGGAACAGGCTGCCCAGAGAGGTTGTGGAGTCTCCTTCTCTGGAGATCTTCCAAACCTGCCTGGATGCCACCCTGTGCCATGTGCTCTGGGTGTCCCTGCTGGAGCAGGGGGGTTGGACTAGATGATCTCTAGAGGTCCCTTCCAACCTTAACCACTCTGTGACTGTGGTATGAATCTCATCAAAATACTAATTATTTAAAATCATTATTTGAATATAATTTTAGCAAAGAGGGGGAGGTGCTGATTTTAGTCTTTCTTACCCTGCGTTTGGCTGTTTGTCAGGGCTGTTGCAGTCCTTCTGCTCCTTCTGGAGCAGCATTTGTGGTTACTAGCACCAAAAGCTTTTTATATATTAAAACAAAACAAAAAAAGCTTCAGATGATAAGAACAGACTCTGAGCAAAGAACCTCTTGTTTGAGAGGGATGCCTTAAAATAAGGGCCAGTGAAGTGTGTTTTAGGTATCCCTCAGTGTATGCAATGATTCTGAAGTTTTCAAATTTGGTATATTCATATAATCATCAAAATGATACGAACTCCCAGCCTCAGCAATGGAATCTGTCACAATGGAATCAGCAGTGGAATCCTGCATCCTGATATGCTTTCTCTGTCCTGCTGGGATTCATCTGAATGTGTTTTTGTGCTGCTTTCCTTCTGAGGTGTGGTTTCCCTGGTGACGCATTCTCTTAGTTGCTTGTAATTGATACCCAGAAACTAGAACTGCAGCCTTCCTGTCTTTGTTTCTGTTTGGTTTTGATTACATGATTTCTTAAAAATATGGTAGCCAACATGCTGCAGGTAGATGTCTACCCTGCTCAAGAAGCCAAGGGTTCAGAATGGGTTTATTTTAATGTTAGAGATGATATCATGTAGGGTCCTGTATGGCTTGGCCCCTGCATTTCTTTCTTTACAAATTTTCACCAGAGAAAGGTAAGAGCAATTGCCTCTAGGCAATTTATACTAGGGGATTTATTTGTTAGTGTAAATACTGTACATTTGTCCCAGACTGTGAAGTCTGTGCTGGTTCCTATTCAGTAGTTATATGGAGCATAGGACTTAATAGCAATAACTATTTATGTATTAGTAGAAAGAGCTGAGAATGGATGTAAAAGAGTCAAGATGAGGTCCTTGGCTTTATTTCATGGCAAATTAACTAAAGTTCTGCTACCAGCAGTTTAATGCACTCCCTGCTCTTGGATTAAATTGCACTTTGGAACTTCTCTTTAGTTCTTTTCTTTGGACTGTTTCCCAAGTTTTATCAGCACTTTTTGTTTGTTTGTTTATTTTTCCTCCCTGACAATCTCTTAGATATCATGAGCTCACCTAACGGGTGTTCATCTCAGTTGTTCTGCTTGTCATCTTCCCCCTAAACACTTACTACTTCCTTGCTTTTTCCATAGCAGGGATGATGCTTTGTTGACTCGTGGAACCTGTAGGAGCAGAGAGTCTAAGTATTGGAGTCTAACCCTTAATAAATGACACTTTTTAGTATTTCCCTTCTGAAAGCTTTTTAATTTTTTTAAATTTTAATAGAATTTCAGGGGCTACTTAATCTAGGTATCAGGTTGTTCTACAGATTAAAAATGTATCTTCAAAGCTCCTGCAAGTAGATATATCTAATGATATATTGCACAGTTTAAATAAGGATGACTTAATTATTAGAAGAAATTGTACATAAACATGGTGGGGTCTTGTCACTTGCAGTCCCAGTATATGTCTATTCAAAAAGCCATTTACAGCTTAAGTGGAAGTTGTGGGCTTGATTCAGTGATATCGTGTATGCAGTGTTTAACTTCTGCAGGAGACCATGCTTACTATTACAACACATCATATCAACTTAAAACATTGAGCATATTTTTTCCTTTTATGTTTTTTTCCTTTTATTGTTTTTCAAGAATGACTAAGTACATGTGTGTTCTGTAGACATGTGATAAAACCTGTCACTTAACAATACCAAAGCTGACATTCTCTATTTTGTTTTTTTGTGTTTCTTAATAGGCCTTGAATGAAAAGGGGAGCAGTAAAAAGCAAGAGTCAAGAGAAGCAGACAGTGAGAAACTAAAGAAAGAAATAGACCGCTTGAAAGCAGAGCTACAGAAGACGTCAGATGGTAAATATAGATTAGGACTTTTCTACAATTATGAAATATAATTTCAACACTATAGATTTTTTAAAAAATAGGTATAGCATTATCTGACTTTATCAGTTCATGTAATTTCCCCTCCCTCCCCAGGAGCTTTTTTTGATCAAAAGTTTTATAATGTACCATCACCATCTTTTAGTAACTGTTGCCATTATGAAAATACATGTTGTAATGTGAGCACCTTAGTTATAATTGCTCCTCAGTGAATTGCTGGATAAGGTATCAGTTACTTGTCACTGAAAGCATCGAGCTGGTCTTTCCTATCCTATGTAAAAGACAATCTCCCCATGTAAAAAGGGGAAATATGTGGTTGAAGTGTTTTGTATAATGGGGCTTTCAGGTTAGGTACCAGGTAAGTTCTGGACTAATAGGTTAGATGGACTCATCTTGTGCAAAGGAGGTGATTGTTTTGTCTTGTTTTTCAGTCTACTGGGAAATGTTCCTTGTTTGTAGCATGATACCTTCCTTAGCAGTTTCCATGTTTAATGTTTAGACTGTCAAAGCTGCTTTCTTGGCAAATTGAGTAGAAAGCAGATTTTTCCTGTTTGGGTTTGCGCTGTTTGGATCTGCCAAGCTGTGTGCCAATGAAATTAGTGTTTTTAAGGTAGCTCTGCTTGTGACCTTGTAAGCATTGCTCAGGTGTTCAGGCTATTATAAAATACATATTTTCATGGCAGTGCATAGCCTTTTGTCATCAAAACATAGTAGTGCTTTCCTGTTGCATAGCACTTAGAGCTGCAAAAATAGCAACTCCAAATAACTTATGAGTTGGTTTTCATTGTCCACTGGGAAGATGAACAAGAACTGCACAACTGCTGTTTTTAGCTCAACTTGAAGCAAAAAGAATCTTTAAATGGAGGATCTCATTAATTCACATTCCCAGGCAGGTTAGACTGGGGAGTTTTCTCTCCCACTGTTTTCTTGGGGGAAAAAAAAGGGGGGGCAGGAGTAAAGCTGCCTTTGAAGTGACAGGATCAATGAAAAATATAAATGCATATGTTTGATTTAAACTAACTAGTGGTTTGTAACACTAATATAATGTAAGCTTTTCAGCCTTAGCTATAGAAAGCTAAGGAATAAATAGATTTACCACCTGCTGTTTCAGTGGCGTTCTCCCTGCAGGCTGTTCTCCATCCAAAAGGTGTAGAAATTAAGGCAGGCTTCAGTCTTTTGTTAGAGGATAAAGCTGGGGAGAGGATCTTTTTAAGGAATGAGAAAATATTTTCAATACCAGCCCCCTTCCTCCTCCTGCCCCTCTGCCCCTCAAGCAACAACAAAAAAAAACAAACAGAAAACTCCATGGTTACGTTAAGTGCTGTCATCAGTTGGGTAGTGTTGCGCTACCTCCTCTTGCGGTTTCGTAGCTTTTCTTATACTTTAAACCAAACAGCAGCCAACAAGCTTAAAATATGAGATGATAAATCATGCTTGTGAATCATGCTTACTGATTTCTTTTAAAACTTCTGCAATTCAGCAGGTAAACACTAAGGTTTGTGCTCACTAAACAGGAGTAAAGCATTATTCAAAATCAAAGTTGAGACTAAAAAGAGGTAAGTGGCAGGTTTGTTGCCTGCCACTGAGTTTACGTGACTAAAGTTATCTTTTTCTGAAGTTATCTTTTCTATCGCAGAGTCATATCCCCGAAGCTTTTTTGCAGAAGTGGCTTTTGGGGTTTTTTTTTTTTTTTTCCCCTTTCCTTTTTTCTCTTTTTCTTTTTGATAGAGTCATATCCCCGAAGCTTTTTTGCAGAAGTGGCTTTTGGGGTTTTTTTTTTTTTTTCCCCTCTCCTTTTTCTCCTTTTTCTTTTGAACCAAGTGCTTTCAAATACCTGGTACTCTGGTCCAGCCCTTCTGTGGTGATAGGGTAAGAGGAGTGTCTCAATAGAGTGGCACTCGGAAGTCCTGATTTAAAGTTTGCTTCAATTATCAGTACCTCAGTTAATATTGGATCTGTTCTTTGACTTCAGGAGATATCCAAGTTTTCTGTAAGGTCTTGATGTGTAGTATTTACTGCTTCTAGTGAAGAAAATACTAGGTGTGTCCTCTTCCTGTGTTTCTGACAGAAATTATATAGTGATTATTGCACACTTTGAGGAGATTCATCTCTAGTTCTTCAGCTATCTACCTTTCATGCAGACACTACAGTCTACTTTGTCCTTTTTGGTAATTAACTATAAATAAGATTCTAACTTAGGAAGATATTCACTACTTACTATGTTTTGAGTGGGTGCAGAGGAAGAATCGAAAAACAAGACAAGCAAAAAAATGAGTAGCGAAATGACTAACAGCTGAGGAAAGATTGGAAATGAGTTGAAAATGAGGTGACAAAGACTTCAGTCAAAATTTATTTTCAGACTTGATATTTTTTTCTCTTTTCATTAAAGCCCTATTTCACTCTGAAGAAGTGAAGGCAATGGGGCCTTTTTTTCTCTGTAGGGGCTTGCGTACTGGGGACTTCGTAGGCACCCAGCAGTGGGCTAGCAATTTCAGAACCTAAATCCATTTTTAGCATTCTGGACATGTAATAACATGACTCTTGAGAAGCCTTGTGAGATGATACTTTATTGATACAAATGTGTTATAAAAAGGTCTTACTGGTGTCTAGGAACAAATGTGAATACTCTCAGGATTTAGTAAGTTGGACTGCAGGGGTGAGAATTTCATACTGCACATTACATAAATTTCTGACAAAATGTTGACTTGAGTAATTAAAGGTTGTCAATGTGGCTACTATCAGACCTATAGGATTTTTCTTTGAGAGAAAAAAAAAAAAAGAAAAAAGAAAGAAAAGGTGATGTGATAGTGATGCTAGCAGTAAGTATCTCTAATTTAGATTTGTAGCAGTAGGGTGTTTTTTTTCTGGAAAATGATGTTCCCACAACTTTTACTTATGCAAAATGCTAATGGTGACAGGTATCATAACTATAAGTACTGGTTATGTTCCTGTATTTCATTTTGATAGTTTTGGCAATTATCAAAAACCATACACCAGAACATGAGAGCAGTTTCACAAGGCAGCTCTCCTTACAGCTTTGGGATCAGGGTGGAGGGGAGAGGGAGAGACACAAGCCTCTCCAGTGCCATAACTTCCTTTCTCACTCACAGGTTCCACAGTGAAACTGTTGAGGGTTGAAATGTCTGTTTGTTGTTATGGCATATTTTGGGCAGAGGGAGACTTCTGCAGTGCTGCACTGTCTCACTTCCTTGCTATCTCAGGTCATCTTTTTGCTGACACCATCCTAGTGTACAGTAAAAGCTACAGCTTTATTTACCCAACAGAAATTGATACAGAACAAGCACTGCAGCAGAACAGGCTGTTGGCAAACGCCTGTCCAGCTGACTGACCCTGCACTCTTCAGACAATATTTCATGGCAAGTGAGGTGCACCAGAAGCTTCTGGCTCCATCCGTATCACCTAATGGGGTCTTCAGCACCTGTGTGCCGCTATCGAGCGGTGACATTAATGCATCTTTGAGTGGAATTGGTCATGCCATGGTGGGGAAGAAATCTAGAGTTAATGGTTCTTTGTCTTTCACTAGCATTTCCCTCTCTATACTTGTACAGAATTGTCAAAGCCAGTTAGGTGCTTTTGAATTGCAGTCCAGCCCTTTTGGGGGCTAGGGGGGGAAGTCTTATTAATATGTTCTTCTGTCCTAAGTTTATAACAGACAGGAGAAAATTCTGAGGAATCTTCTCTGTGTGCTCAAAGCAGGCTTCTTTTATGTACAGAATTTGACACAAGTGTTTTTTGCTTCATAGCTTCATAGCAGGGCAGGAGACAGGAGTAGGAAAGCAGTTGATATGGAGGGCTAGCTTCAGAATGGCTTTTCCTTGTTGACTGTTCTAGATATACAACTGTCATGTAAAACCCTTAAGATTATTAAACATTGGGAAGATACAAACAATTATCAACAATACAAACATTTCATAGAATTCTGCCCAGTGAGAATCCAGCTAGGTGTTTGTGTTCATGGACTGTGACATGTATGTCACAGCTAGTGTCATATATGAAAACTGTATGTTCTATAAAAGCAATCAATTAAAAAAGGTGGGGAGGGGCAAACAAAAACCCCTCAATCTTTTCCCAGCCTTCTTTTGTAAGCTGGGGATATGAGATATAAGTCAATTAATTGACCAGTGTGTCATGGTATTGAGCCAATGACAGAAGGTAATTTAGAACCTAACACTTTTTTTTTTTGCTAGATCATCTTCCTGATGAGAGCTGTTGCACAGTGTCACATACAGCACAAGTTGAGGTTCATATTTGTTGATTGAAAAATATGATGTTGTATATAACAAGCAAGATTCTGTTGTACAGGGCCCCCTGTAACTACTTAAGATGCTGTAAAGCCCTTTTGTAGCAAGGTTTTATGTGAGGTTAAGTTAGTTGGAGCAACTCCATGTAGTTTTCTAGTCCTGCTTCTTTTTGTCTTATGTATCTTAGCATGATATCTTAAGGGCTGAATCCAGAATTTGTCTGGAATTAACTGAATGGAGTTGTGTTCCCAGCTTTACAACATATTTGTTGGCTATCTAGGGTGAATCTCTTCTCCCATCTGTGCCTAAATTCTTAGCTTGAATAGCCCTTTCTTGGTTTCATAAAAGCTTGTCGACTCTCAAGGTAGTTTTAAGCATAATCTTAAAATAGCCCCAATCATTTGGGTTTTTGAAGCTGTACTGTGAACAATTCTGACTTGGAATTCAGACTCTGGCAGGCTCACTTAGCAGCAAGTGCTGTAAGCCAGGCATAGACTTAGGCAGCAGCTGTGCTGCAGAATGCCTGAAAAATCACTGTGCATTTTTTCTACTATTCTGTTCTCTCTTTGCTGAAGCAAAGTAATAGAATTGCTACAGCTGCTTTTCGATGGAAACATCTTCATTTTTATTCCTTGTCTTGCCTCATCTTCTGAGGAATCCAATCTGAAGCAAGCTGTTTATCCTCAAACAGAATACAGAGTGTGCTAAGGGAAGGGCAAGTCTGATTTTTCCCTGACTGTAGGTGTTATATTAGTTTTTGGGTTTGTAGTTGCATGCTTAAGTGTAAAGGGGTA